CTGGTTAAAATATAAATATCTTTTTGAGTAAAACTGTTTTTCGGTAATTGTTTTACTACCACTTGGAAAATCCATTCTCGAAAAGAATGAATGTTGGCAGGTATACATCAGGTATTATATCAGTATACTATAATAATCAGATCAAATTATTAGACGCACTGTATTATTTTTAATAATCACATGATTTGCACGAGTTTATAGGCAATACTTTTACATTTAAGCATACATGTAATGCAAGAAATTTTTTATATACTTCCTATTTGTATTTATTTTTTACGTATTGCATTATACAATGTTAACCCATTGATACAGGAGCGCAAACAAATGCAAACCAATCTCATCGGAGTGAAAACAGTAAAGCAGCATAGTATCACCTAATAATTATTATTTTACATAGAATCTTACTGTGCGTCGAATAATACGACCAGGTACTGTACAGTAAAGCATTCCAGTAAAAGTCCACTACAAGCTAGGGGTTAAGGCTCCACAATTTTGAGAGCAGCGACATGATTATGGTAATGTGGTGGCGCACAAGCCACCTTCACTTCCCTGACAAGCTGTTACAAACAATCGTATAGTAGAGATCGACATATCTTTATATAAAAGCGGCGATTATCTGCGGAAGTGGATGGCCGCACATAACGAAAATCGTGTTTAATCTGAGAGAGAGAGAGAGAAATCTTTTGTTTACATTTTTTTATATTTTATTAATTATTGCTCGGTGAGTCTATAAAATCTTTTTTTTTTCTGAATATAACTGAAATAATAGAAGAGACATTTACTATTTTTTGACTATAATTTTTTATTATATTTTGCTTACTTTTTTTCTATCATTTAATTATTATAATCTGTATTGCNTTTTATTAATTATTGCTCGGTGAGTCTATAAAATCTTTTTTTTTTTCTGAATATAACTGAAATAATAGAAGAGGCATTTACTATTTTTTGACTATAATTTTTTATTATATTTTGCTTACTTTTTTTCTATCATTTAATTATTATAATCTGTATTGCTAGGTGAATTTTTAATGTCTGTTTTCTGTTTCGCATTCACTATTTCGCTGAACATTACTCTGAAATAATAGAAGTGGCATTTACTGTCTTTTGACTATAATTTTTTATTATATTTTACTTACTTTTTTTCTATCTTTTAATTATTATAATCTGTATTGCTAGGTGAATTTTTAATGTCTGTTTTTCGTTTCGCATTCACTATTTCGCTATATATGTTACCGGCAACGTATGAAATCCGGCATTATATATAATGTCTAGGCATTATATATAATGCCTAAAACTAGCCGGCAAAGTATGAAATGATTTATATTTCACACATTTACCCGGTATACCCTACACTGATGTTTTTTTAAGGTCAAGGTCCATTGCCCGGTATACCCTACACTGATGTTTTTTTAAGATTCAGTGCCACTGCCCGGTATACCCTACACTGATATTTTTTTAATGGTTAAGTGAACGCTGATGTTTCTTCTAATCTATCGTCAGTAAGTATTAAAATATCGAATAAATGTAATTATATCCACGAATAAATTAATATCTAATCGGATTTAATAAATATTTCGGACATTCACCAAAGCGACTAATTTGATTGTCAACATTCACCTGTGAAAGTCAACAACCACCGATTTCGGTCATTCACAGTAACGTGTACATTATTTACATAATAACCTCATCTGGACGTTTATTTCATACTTTACCTAAATAGCATCCGGCATTATATATAATGCCTAGGCAAGTATGTAATACTTCTCATATTTCATACTTTGCCTAAAAATGTCAGGCATTATATATAATGCCGGTATTTCATACTTTGCCGGTCACATATACATTACTCTGAAATAATAGAAGTGGCATTTACTAATTTTTGACTATAATTTTTCTTATATCTTTTATTCACTTTTTTTTTATATCTTTTATTAATTTTAACCTGTATTTCTCGGTGAGTCTTTAATGTCTATTTTTTTTTTCACTTTCACTTTATACACTACTCTGAAATAATGGAAGAGGCATTTACTGTTTCCTTGACAATATTTTTTTATTATATTTTAATTAATTTTTTTTTTATCTTTTAATTATTATAATCTGTATTGCTGGTTGAATTTTTAATGTCTGTTTTTTGTTTCGCATTCACTATTTCGCTGAACATTACTCTGAAATAATAGAAGTGGCATTTACTATTTTTTTAGTGGATTTTTTTCTAATCTTTTATTCAATTTTTTTTATACTTTATTAATTATAATTTGTATTGCTCGATGAATCTTTAATATCTATTTTTTTCAATTTCACAACGTACACTACTCTGCAATAATGGAAGAGGCATTTTCAGATTTTTTTTTTCATTTTTTCTTTATTTCTGAAGAAATATTCATTGAATAATTTTATAACTCTAGAGGTGTTTACGTCATGCAGTTTGTCATATGTATCAATAAAGTTTAAAGTCTTCAGAGCTTTGAGGAACCAATAATAAATTACGAACAAAAAAAGGTATTTTCAAACACTCCATGCCAAAAAATATAGAAATAAGCTTATAACTTCTAACAATTATTTTGATTGTCATATTCATAAACCTAGATAAAATATGCATGGAAATATGAGCATTTTTATATTAATATTAAAAAAATTGTTTCCCTTCCTTCCGTTTTCTTATTAGAACTGCTAAATATTGAATGCAATGAAATTTTCAAAGTAATTTTTTATTAAATTAAAAAGCATTTTAAAATTTGAAATTTTAAAAGAAAAAAAATACGCAACCGTCTAAAATAGTCCTTTTTGCATGTGCGTCAAGCAAAAAAAATTTACATCTTTCCCGCACATGCGCATCATGAAAGAACTACTTCACATGCTCATATCTTGCGCAATTTTTAATGAATTATTTTTCAAATTTTGAAATTATAACTTCGTCAATAATTAAAAATTTGTTTTTTATAAACATGGCCATATCTCCTTGAATATTTAATGAGCAAATAGTAATATAATAATATTGTATTAATAATAATATTATAACAATTATATTGCATAAGATAACCACAGTAATTGATGCAAGTTACTATATTTTATTTCTATTCAGAGTCACTATTACTATATTTTGCTATAGAGTGTTCAAAAACATATATTTTCGCGTGTAATTTATTCTTGGTCTCGCTGAAAGTTTTAAACATTTATCTTAAGCTTGAGAAATCGCATGGCCTAAACACTTCTAAGGCTGTAAAATATTTCTCTATAAGTACTTTTTATTTTAAAAAAAGTGACAAAAATTTGAAAGTGTTCTTTTCATTATCAAAGAGTAGTACATGTTTGTAGTGTCCCAGAAAATTCTTAATAATTATTATGTAACCGATTTAATTAGCGTTCATTGCCGTAAGAAGTTGCTATTGGACGGAAAATAATAGATCATATACATACACTGATAATTGGGTGAGACCTGTCCTCAATGCATTATTTTAAACAAAAAATTAATATTTAAGCATGAAAGAAACAAAAGCGTTATCTTTTTTTTTTTATCCATTTGAAAGTAAATTTCATCACATCTTTGTTTCAAAGCAAAATTTATTTTATTTTTGAAAAAATCCTACCTAACAGTCTATAGTTAACAAACTCCAATATTTATCTCTTTCGTTTGCTTTTTAATGTTTTAAAATAGCTTAGTAAAAGTAGCACTCTTGTGAACTAGGACGCCGTGTGTAAAATATTTAAACTCTTTTTTGCTTTTTTATTGCTATTGAAGCATGGATTAAAGAATGACGGCCCCCCTCCAATAATTTGCGTCCTTTTTCACCCACTAAATAAACACCCTGAGATTAGTCCTGTTTTCAACATATAAAATGCAAAATAGCGCACACCTTCATTAACATGTTCATACACTCACCTTTTCATGAAGGGTGCTCCGTTATGACCACCCTTAATATATGCTTTTAGAATCTTTGTAAAAAATGAAGTAAAAGTAAACAATGCATAATATCAGCTTCAAATTTGTGTTTAAGACAGGAAATAAAGTTTTCAAGCTCTAGGCAATCATTACCGAATCCAATGTGGGCAATGCAGATTATTGTTCTGGTGGCACTAAAATGCGTTTTGTTAAAATCCGTCTTTCAGCTTTTTTTTTTTTTTTTTAATGATTTTTATCCAATCATCACTCTTAATTTTCTCATCCGTGATTTTGTTTTTCATCTTTTTTTTTATAACCGTTGATGAACAGCCGACCCAACTTTGGGTTTAAGACTACTAATGCTCAACTCCTTGGCCTTCTCATTTTGAACCCAACAAGGGAACTCTTGGATCAAGTATTGAGAGAAGTTTTCTTTTGTGGAGGACTTTTTGGTGGAACTAACCCGCATTTGCGTTACATGGATTACGCAGGGAGATGCAAACTGCTCCGCTTTCTGGAATAGTTTTAATAAAGTGGTACCAAATTATGTAGTAAAATTCGGTAAAGAAGGATAGTTGCGCCTACTTTTAATAGAGTAACCAGTATATTGATGCTTTAACGTTGCATTTTATATGATACTTATAATTTTTGATATTTAGTGGTGAAACAATTACTTAAAATGAAAAATACTAAACTAAAAGTAACTTAAATTTCGCTACCACTGGAAAATACTATTTTACAAAGCGGAGCAAGTTGGCATCTCTGGATTATGAGAACGTCCCGCTGTCAGTCTGAACGGAAAGAGGAATCTAGCCCATAATCCGTCTACCACTGAGGATATTTTACTTCAGCACTGCGGTCGGTGCGAGCCGGGTGCGGAGTTCGTATCGACCAGCCATAGCTGGAATTCGAACCCAGTTCACCTCATTGAAAGGCGAATGCTCTATCCCCTGAGCCATCGTGGCTCTCTTATCCGTGATTTTATTTTATTTTATATCCGTCATTGAAAAGTCGACCCAGTTTTGGGCTTTACAACTACTAATGTTCAACTCAGTAGCCTTGTAATTTTGAACCAATCCAGAAGGTAAGGAAACTCCTTAATCAGTACTCCCAGAGGTATGATTTGTTATGGGAACATGGAGGGGACACTCGACAGATTTAAAGTGCTTCAGTCACCATTTACTACATGTGTAGTCTTCGGCAGGCTGGAGTCGAACCCACGACCTCTTGGGCAATGGGCCCTAACAACCAGGCTATCCCAGCCTCTCATCCGTGATTGCCCAGAGCTTGAAAACAATTAGGTCTTTTTAGTTCTAAATATTAATTCACGTTGCCTTATTTACATTATTTTTCTGCTTATTTCGCTTTTTACAAACATTCTTAAAAGAATATCACGATCGGTCCATTTTGAACACCCTGTATATGACTTGTTTAATGACTAGTTATAGTATCACACAGATCCTGCATGCACCCTCATGTGCCTGTTCAGATTCCCACTCTGTGAAAACCTAAGCAGGCATAGTTTGCACTGATAGGGTTTTTCGCCGCTGTGTATCCTCAAGTGTTTGGTGAGAGTCGAGCTGTCAGAGAAGGACTTCTTGCACATGTAACACCTGTACGGTCTCTCACCCGAGTGAGTCCTCATGTGGGTGGTCACAGACGAACTCTGTGAGAACCTCCTGTCGCACACATGGCAACGGAACGGTTTCTCACCACTGTGCGTCCTAATGTGCGCCGTCAAATTGGCAGCCTGAGAGAAAGACTTGTGGCAGGTGCCGCACCTGTAGGGACGCTCACCGGAATGCGTCCTCATGTGCGTCTTCAGCGTACTCGGCCTGGCATACGTCTTGCCGCAGATCTGGCACAGGTTCATCTTTCCTGACGAGTTGGAGTCGTTGTCCGTGATGATGGCCACTGGACTGTCTGTGACGTCATCGATGGAGTGGGCGGAGGGGATGGGGCTGTCAGGTTGGACTAGATTGGAGGCTGGGAAACAGGCCGCCCTGCCCGTAGGGATGGTCCGGAGCTTGTTTTTAAGGATGAGTGGTGACTGCGTGGTGCTCTCGGCTGGTACGGCGACTGCCGCGTGCTTGCAGGGATAGAATGATGTCTTGAAAGTGGAGGGGCAGTTGGTGAAGTCCCTTTCAATGGACGGCAGTGGCAGGGTTGTTGTGTCGGCCGGACGAAATTCGGCGGTGAAAGTGTAAGTACCAGATGACTGGGTTGGAGACTGGGCATTATACTGCATCTGTTTTTGTAAAAGAAAGAGAGAAATCGGTCAAATTATTTTTTATCAAATTTCAAACTACTTTCAAACTGCAATTTTTTAACAAGTAGTTTTTTTTTTAATTTTATAACCGTCGTTGAACAGTTGTTGTTTTTTATTTCATTTTATATACTGTCGTTTAAAAGCACACACAATTTTTGACTCCGTAGCCTTGTAATTTTGAACCAAATCCAGAAGACAAGGAAACTCCCGGATCAGTACCCCCAGAAGTGTTGATTTGTTATGGGCACATGGAGAAATTTTGCGACTCGACAGGTTTAACGTATAACAGTCACCATTTACTACACGGGGAGTCTTCGGACGGCGGGGATCGAACCCACGACACCTTGGACATGGGCCCAGTGCCCTACTAACCAAGCTATCCCGGCCATTAACAGTTGCTGTTGTAGTTCATTTACGTCGTAGCACTAGAGCTACACAATGGGCTATTAGCGACGGTCTGGGATACATCCTGAGGATGATCCCAAGACACGCCATCACAATTTTGATCCTCTGCAGAGGGGATGGCACCCTCGCTTCGGTAGCCCGACGACCTGCACGTAAAGTCGTGCACTTTGTGGTAGAACAGTTTAACGAGGACCAATACCTCACACCCCCGGTATCTACGCAGACTGATCCAAGTGGTCACCTACCCGCACACTGACCGCAGCTAGTGATGCTTTACTTAGGTGATCAGCTGGGAACCGTGTCTTAACGATCAGTCCACTGCGGGACATCGTTGAACAGCCGACCCAATTTTGAGGTATTTTTGTTTTTTCAAAGTCTTGTTTGGGTGAGAACTTTAGGGAATTTTTAATTGACTTATTGGAAACTATGTTTAGTTGCGTATTGCTTAATTTCATCGCCAACGTTGAGCACCTGATTCACATAGGATTTTTGGTTAATAGTTTATAATTTATAATCGTGGATGAACAGCCGACTCACGATTACTGATGGTCAACTTCGTAGCCTTGTAATTTTGAACCCAATCCAGAAGACAAGGGAACTCCTGGATCAAATATAGAGACAAATTTGCTTTCGTGGAAGACTTTCTGATGGATCTAACCCGCATTTGCATTACATGGTGAGGTAAACCACGAAAACCTAACGGCAAAAGGACTCTAACCCATGATCCGTCTACCACTGAGGATATTTTACGTCGGCGCTGTGGTTGGTGCAAACCGGATGCGGAATTCGTATCGACTAGCCATCGCTGGGATTCGAATCCGCCTCACCTCATTGGAAGGCAAACAATCACGGCTCTAACAAGTTGGATTGAAGTTTTACAATACTACTTAAAATAACTATTGTTTTCTGATTTTAACTCTTTTTAGTTTAGGTAGCCTTGGCTTCATTCTTATTGCTATGAATCATTTTAGTTACAGACTCATATCAATCAAAACAATTAAAAAAAAATTTACGACTTTGAAGGTAAATGACCACAATACAAAGCTTCGAAAATTTACGTACAATTCAAAGAAATAATACAACGAAAATAAATACCAAATTTTTGCTCACGTATTTATGAATAATGCTGACTTTCGTTGTTTTCGTTTTAATTTTGTTGTCATATTTTAATTTAATACAACAGCTATGACCAAACCCAACAGAAACTCTTTTGTCTGATTTGTCTTAACAATGTAGGAGAGATTGTTATTAATAATAATTTAAAAAATCGTGAACCATAATAATTTCACTAAAATTGCATTGTTTTAAGGTTTTTGTGAGCAAATATTATAATAGTTTTTATTGATTACTTCAACCTAAAGAATTAAAAAAAAAATTAAGATGGATTAAGGAGTTCTTTTTTTATTCAATTCTTTATACAGGGTGTTTATAAAGTTCCCATTTTGATGTTTCATAACTCATAAAATAATAAAGATAGATTAAAATTAATAACATAAATGGTTAGATAGACTCAAAAAGTTTCATGACCCTTGTCAATGAACTTCTACGTGTGCCCCCTTCGTCGCACGGAGAGCACAAGTGATTTTGACGTTGAGCGTGTCAGACAGACTTTTTTAGACAATCCTAGAAGATCTGTGAGATCAGTGGCAAGAGAATTGGATATGGCAATTTCGACGGTGTACAAGGTTAGTAAGAAACAATTAAGACTGCATGCATACAAAGTTCAAATTGTTCAAGGTTTGGAACCGGACGATAGGCCTAAGAGGATGGCGTTTGGAACAGATATGGTAGGAAGGATGGAAGATGCTGCTGATTTTCTGAAGCGCATAATGTTCTCCGACGAAGCATTCTTTCATGTTTCTGGCAGTGTTAGTCGCCATAATGTGCGCATATTGGGATCTGAAAACCCCCGTGAATACCGTGAAACACAAAGGGATTCCCCAAAGGTTAATATGTGGTGTGAACTAATGCACGACCGAGTCATTGGGCCTTTCTTTTTTACAGAAAAGACGGTCTCATCAGTCGTATACTTAGACATGTTGGAAAGCTTCGCATTTCCACAACTAGAAGAGCTTCATGCACACGTCTTTTTGCAACAAAATGGTGCACCACCTCATTGGGGTATCATCGTTCGTAGTTCTTTGAATGACCATTTTACAGGAAGATGGATTGGGCGAGGAGGTCCAATTCCTTGGCCACCCAGATCACCTGATATAACGCCGCTGGACTTTTTTCTTTGGGGATTTATAAAGGACAATGTTTACAGGAGGATCGTGTCGAACATTGATGACCTAAAAGCCAGAATTACAACCGCAATAGCCTCTGTGGATGCCGACATGCTTGCCGCTACCTGGCGTGAAATTGACTATCTACTTGATATTCTCCGTGCGGCGAAGGGGGCACACGTGGAAGTTCATTGACGAGGGTCATGAAACTTTTTGAGTCTATCTAATCATTTATGTTATTAATTTTAATCTATCTTTATTATTTTATGAGTTATGAAGCATCAAAATGGGAGCTTTATAAACACCTCGTATTAGTTCACACTCTCCCTATATATCTTGTTCAAATTTTCAATCGTTAATAAAATAGTTTTTATTCCTCCACTCAAGTACAAATAGATTTTTTTTGAACTTGTAGTGGATGACACTTGATGTTAATACAGGTTTTTTCAAATATTAATTCATTCATTAAATGAGGATGAGCCTAAAACGAAATGGAATTTTCTGATGGGTTAAGCGTTGGTCGCTGTTTTAAATTTTACTGTAAGCTATTCAGTTTTCAGATATTTTAAAAATAACCTCAATGATAATTTCTAACTTATAGCTTTGAACAAAATATAGTTTATTGCACCATTTTAGTATTTACTTATTTTACATTCGCTGAGTCAGATAAATTCAATAAAGAACATTACGTGGTAGCACGTGTGGTCCTCGTCACCATATTTTAGTTTTATGTGGGTGAAAAAATTTTAATTATTTAATAAAAAGTTACTAAAATAATTTTTTTTCTTTGTTGAGCTAAGTAGAAATTGTCCTTCAAAAAAATTATATCATTTGTTATTGAGAAAAATTTAATGAATGGGAAATGGAATAGTAGCAATAGTGTCAGTCATAGTTTTTTTCGATTGCTCTGAACACCGGGAATTTTTCTTAGAAACAACGCATCATCTTTATTAAATAGCAGACGTGCAAACTGTTCTATTTTGGTAGGAGTGATTGCGCTGCCTTTTATTTAAATACAATTGCATTTATAATCAACCATTTGCTAACGCATCGTTTGCCAAGATTCATATCTTTATGAGAAGTCATTTAAAGACATTTTACACAATTGTCCTGCAATAGAAATTCTGCGGAAGAGCTATAAAAATTTAGGCTTTGCTTTAGGCAAATTTAGGAAATGAATTCATTGCTTTGAAAGAAATAAGGTAACATTGTTATAGACTTGACGCTGGTTAATTCAAGTAGTCATTCCAATACAGATACCTGGAATCTTAGCGATCGTAGTGCCTTCCCTAACTATACTTATATAGTCTAACTGCAATTTACGATCTCATTAAATGTTGTAAGAATAGTTTATGTCCAATAGAAAATTTTTAAGGAATCAGTAGAAGTTAAGCATTAAAGCCAATTATTTTTTGAATACTTTTTTGTTATGAAATAAAGTAATATTTCTTTAATGTTTCAGAAAATAATTCTTTAATATTAAGCCTTTAATATTAAATATTAATTTCAGAAGGTTCTTAACATCGAAGGTTCTTAACTTTAGAAGATTCTTAAGGTATAGAGAAATGCAGTTTAGTTTTTAGCGATCACTTTGTATTATCAATGATAAATACATGTAAGATTGCAGAAATGATTCGAAAAATATAGCTGTATTCAGAAACTGAATTAGTTTTGCCAAGTTAAATTTTTTATATTATTTTGATTTCATAATGACATAGTACACTTTAAACATGTGCACCATTTATCAACAAAAAAAATTAATAAATAAATAAGTAATTGCATTATATTAACTTGAATTTCTAGTCCCATAATACACTATAAACATGTCAAATATTTGTAAAAAATAAATTTCATACTATTTTTAATTCATACTCCTATAATCCACTATAAACATATAAAACATTCATCAGAAAATTAATAAATTGTATTATTGTCTTTATTTGTTTTGTATTATTGTCTTTATTTGTTTTTGTATTATTGCCTTTATTTGTATAATTGTATTTATTTTATATTATTGTCTTTGTCTATTATTGTATTAATGTGTTCATAATATAATTTCGAATTCATAATGCCATAGTACACTATAAACATGTAAACTATATTTCAAAAAAATAAAAAAATCTGCATAATATTATTTTGAATTTATAACGCCATAATACACTATAAACACATAAAATATTTATCAAAAAATGAATATAATTTTAAATTTATGATGTCATATTATTTTTAATTCATACTCCTATGATCCACTATAAACATAAAAAACATTTATCAAAAAATAAATAAACAAAGATTCATAATTTTGCATTTATAATGCCATAATACACTCTAAACATGTGAACTATTTTT